TTTGGTCTGTCCCCTAACACCCAGACATCTGGGTCCCCCATATCCCCCCCCCATAGGGGACCCAGACATTTGGGCCCTCCACCTCCCCCCCCACAGAGGCCGACCCTGGCAACTGCTCCGCTCTTTATTGGGGGTCGCGGCCCCCCACAACCAACACAAGATGGGGGGGTGGGAGGGGCAGCACCCCCCAACCCCCCCTGAGACCCCCCACACCCGTGTCCCCAGGGGGTCGGGGGGTCCCTGGGGGGGGACAGGGGGGTGACGTCACCGGATGGCGATCAGCCCCACGTCCATCAGCTTCTGGATCTTCTGGGCAATGACGGGGTTCTTCAGGTGCCTGGGGAGGGGCGGGAACAAGGGGGTCAGGGGGGACAGAGGTACCCCCCCCACGGCAGTGGGGACAGGCACCCCAAGGACCCCTGTGGCTGCATGGGACACCAGGACAGGCGGAGGGACAAAGCAGGGGCTGGGGGGTGGCCTGGGATGGATCCCTGGGACCCCTCTGATGTACTGGAGACACGCCCTGACACGTGTGGACCTCCCACCACACCTCAGGACATGTTGGGGACACCCTGTTGACATGCCAGGGACACACATGCCGGGGGCATCCCTGGTGTGTCACGAGTTCTCCCTGTCACATCAAGGACACCCTGTGACACCCATCACGTCAGGGACACCTTCTGACTGTCTGTGACATGTTGGGGACACCCCCTGACACTCCCCGATGCGTCAGGGACACGCTCTGCCATTTCTGGTATAGTCCATGTCACATCAGGGACCCCCCACCAGCTCTGGAAGGGCTCTGGGAGTCCCCCAAGGACTTGGTGAGTGCCACCTGGTAGCCAGTAACACTCTGCAGAGCCTTGGGGACACCCGGTGACACCTCGGGGAGGCCCCAGGAGGGCTCTGGGCACCCTCACAAAGGCTTGGCGAGCGCCGTGGGGCAGCTGGCAATGCCCCATAACGCCTCAGGGACCCCCAGCGACAGCCCAGGACGCCTCGGGGACACTCACTCGCTGAGGGCCTGGGGGTCCTTCTGCATCTGCTCGAGGATGAGGCGCATGGCGGGGTCACTCATGATCTGCTGCACCTCAGGGTCGGCCATTGCACGGCGCTTCACCTCCTCGGGGGTGTCCTGCCTGTTGTACTGCGCCAGCAGGCAGCGCTGGTAGCCCTCCCCGGCCTCCTGGGGGGGGCACGGAGGGAAGGGGTCAGTGGGGGTCGTGGGGGGGGGGGGACAGGGGGCAGCAGGGTGTCCCCCTCACCTTACAGGTGGCATCGAGGTCGAGGGCGCGCTGGTAGACGTCCATGGCTTTGCTGTAATCCTTCATGGCCTCCAGCGCCGCCGCCTTCCGGGTGTAGCCCTTGACTGCGGGCAGAGGGACGGGCAAGAGGGACAGGTGGGGGAGGAGGGAGGGACAGGTGGAAGAGGAGGAGGAGGGAGGGGTACAGGCAGAGGAAGGGGGGGCACCCCAGAACCAGCCCCCCCAGGGGCAGCCCCCCCAGTGCACTCACTGAAGGAGGGCTCCAGGCGGATGCACTCCTCGCAGTCCTGGCGGGGGGGAAGCAGGGGGAGTCAGAGACGCTCCAAAACCCCCAAACCAGCCCCATGGTGCCCTCCAGTACCCCAAGCCCCTCCCCAGCCAGCCCTGCACCCCCAAACCGGCCCCCAAGCGCTCCCCCCAAACCTTGAGGGCCAGAGGGAACTCAAGCAGCTTGGTGTAGCAGGCGGCGCGGTTGCTGTAGAGCCGAGCCTCGTGGGGGTTGCGGCGAATGGCCTCGCTGTAGTGCTTCATGGCCTGGGGGTAATCCCCTGGGGGGGGCCACGACACCAGGGGGTCACCAAGGATCTGGGGGGGCCCTTCTACCCCCCGAAGACCCCCCTTTACCTCTCTGAAAACACTCGTTGCCTTTATTCTTCTCCTCCAGCGCCAGGTCAGGGTCAATGTAGGCCAACCGCTCCTGCTCCTTTAAGATCTTCTCTGCCTGTAGCACCAAATTTGGGGTTCAGCGGGTCTGGGGGGACTGCATCTCCTTTTCTGACACCCCCCCCCCCCAAGATCCCCCCAAATCACCTGCTGACACTTCTTGAGCACATCAGGTGTACGATGCTCAGCTAACGACTTGTTGTAGAAGTTCACGGCATCTTTGTACCGCTCCTCTCGCAGATAGGAGTTCCCGATGCGAGCGTATGCCCTGCGGGGATGATTTTGGGGGTACAGGGGTGCTGGGGGTGTACCCTCTTTTTTAACCGCCCAAATCCCGCTGTACTCACTTAGCAATCTGCCTGTAGTCCTCCCGGTTCTCCCGCCCCACCTCGATGGCTTTTTCACACAGCTCTCGGCACCGGTTGTAGTCACCCGTCTCAAAGTAGACGGCTACAGCAGGGAGAAAAAAGGAGGTTCAGAAGGGATTTGGGCGGGCTCGGGGAATTTTGGAGAGTTCCAGGGGGCGTTTGAGGGTCACTCACCTGCTTGGTTGGTGACGTAGGTCATGTTGGTGGGGTCCAGCTCCTCAGCACGTGTGTAGTGAGCCAGGGCGGTGGGGAACTCCTTCCGCTTGTAGGCGGCATTGCCCAACTCCTTCTCCCTCTGTGCCTGGGGTTTGGGGGGGGACACGGGTGACCCCAAAATCACCCCCAGCACCCCAGAACCAGCTATAACCCCCTATAACTCCTTCCCCTTGTAGGCAGCGTTGCCTGGCTCCTTCTCCTGCTGCGCCTGGAGTTTGGGGGAGCCAGTCACCCCAATATGCCTCCCCAACCCTGCCCTCAGGTTTTGGGGGAACCCCCCCTCTCACCTCCTTCTTGTTTTCGGGGAGCTCCTCGGGTGGGGGCGGCTGGGCAGGGGGCTG